ACGTTCACAAGGAAAAAAAAAAGATGGAAATCAACACCGCGGTGAGAAATGAAGACAAGAATACTGTTTCCATTTTATTTGGCTGGGACTCGCTTGCTTGATCTGGGATGGATAAGACAGTTTGTTGACACTGGGGACAAATTCTGCTGTTTAAATCATGACAGACTAACGCATTAGCTTTTCTCTTTAACCAGCTATATCTTTTACTATTTCTTCTACATAACGAACTGCTTGAAACTCGAAACTTTCTCGAATGTCACTTTTGTGATGGCAACGAATACTCAGAGCCATAACGTTGGTGGCGTGGGGGGTGAATTTGTCCGGGTGATGAAAAGCAAAGAGAGACACCAGTTGCCTAGTTACTATCCTCAATTCTAACTATTTAAACAAACCTGTGAAAAGAACTGTCAAACTTCACTTCTTCCCGAATGATTTTATTTAATTATTTACTATGTAATTCCATTTTCGTAGACTTTACTGCTTACAACACTTTTCAGGGACAGATAGAATGATTTAGGGGTTCCTTGATTCACTTGTGTGCTAAGACACACGTGTGGAGTACCTATTACATAACAAAGTCAAAACTTCATTTTACGCCAAATAGGGGTAAAACATTAGGAAAGACTCGGTCTTTTAACGGAACCATTCTTGGCGATAGAAATTTATAATATCAAAACCGTAAAACATCGTAAAGAAAATAACGAGAAACTACTCCACTATCTTTCCCAATTAAACAATTATAGCAATTATGACTATGGAGAGCCATTATTGCTTACATCCTGAAGCGACAGAAAAAAAATAATGACATCTGAATTTGAGCTGAACACAAAGGACAGAAAAATTATAATTATCTATGGAACTGTGTAATTAGCCAAAACGATTTGAACTAATCAAGCAAGATTCATGCTAACAAGATGCGAATGTCCGACGGGAACTGAACTAATTGTTTCATAAGTGTGCCCCCATACATAAAAAATTACACGGCCTCGTTAAGGTAATTCAAAAGACATAATATCATAATTACTCACAAATTCTTTTATTTCTCGACCATTAAAACATCGTTTTAAATTAATAACGTTTCCGGCTCGACCGAGGGCAGAAGGTCGAAAACTATATTTAAAGAAGTTTTTTTTTTATTTTTAAATAAATTTTTCATTAAATTATAAAATGTGATTAAATTTTACACACATTCACACAAACATACACATACACACATATACATTTTATTATAAGAGATTATAATAATGTTGAAATGGCTACACAAAAGCTATCATATTTCAATACTGTGAGTGTACTTCTTCAGGAATTGATGATTAAGGAATTACTTAATATCGTCCATGAAGAACACTTATGTTGTGGATTCCGGGATGAAATCCGGTCTCAAATGAATGACAAACGCAGGAATGAAATATAGCAAATAAATGTATTGACGTAATAATACAATTGGTAATACGGTTAGTAAATCCAGAAATGCGGTTAGTAGCAATAATAATATATATACAGTCTGGGAAATTCAGTATCGAAGTAGGACTTCTTTCTGAGTCTACGTGCTCGCAACTGTGACTCCTACAAAGCAGTTACCTCACTCTCTCACTGTATCACTGTATCACTGTCTCACTCTCTCTGGAAGCAGTACAAGTACACACTGGTCGAGTCCCCTTGTATGGACCCCATAACAACTTATCATAGTGTATCTGTCTATATTTCTGAGATGAGGTATTAAATAAACTATTTACATTATTCCGACTAATGTATTCATCTTTGTCGCCATGTTTATCATAACGATTCGGTCGTACGTTCCGGCAATCTTCAGATCGATGGAATGTCGAACTGAACCCTTTATTTCGCTCACTGGGGTAGACTGTTATCGTTCCACGTGCCATGTTTAATGGATGTCAGTTATCTCCTGTTAATTCCCCTCTGAAAGTTCTCCACTGCTTTAACCAGGTATTGAACTGACAGTCTTTGGGTCCTGTCACTGGATCTAATTGACGCATTTATCCACTGTGCCATGTGTCCTCATATGACTTCGGACAAGATACCTGACACATACCCGCTCGCGAGCCACCCTGCTCTAAAGCCTTACAACATGTCCACAGAGACAATCAGCTCTAAACATATGCATCGTCAGGGTGAGAATGTCAGCTTTAATAATCAAGTTGAGGCCCCACTCGATGACTCTATTGTGGCCTCAGTCAACCAACCCAACAAACGCATCGTCTGGGCCTTAAAAAACTCTATCGTTCATTCAAAGCCGTCCCCTCGCCTACATTTGCACCATATCCGTTGTATCCAACACAAAATTAAACATGCATCGACGGTAGTTTTAAGCAAACTTATTTGGATGAATACATCCTGCTTAAACATACCTTATATATATATATATATATATATATATATATATATATATATATATATATATATATATATATGCCCATTAAGGAATTGTATTCCTGATCAATCAAAATTCGTAAATAATTATATAGGCCACACTACAAGATGTTTGACACGCAGACTCACTCACCACCTTTCTGACCATAGTTCAATTAGATCTCATTTAAATATTCATGGAGACCTACCGGACACTATTCGTAATATAATTGTTAACAAAACTAATATAATAGCATCATCTACATGCAAAAAAGGCTAAAAATAATGGAAGACTTATTAATAAAAAACTTAAAAAAAACAACATTTAATAATATTAACTTTGAACATGGACACAATATCTTGACCATGTTTTGAAAAATCAAAACATTTTATAAAACATACATACAACAAACTATTTCTTATTGAACAGTTAAAATATTTAATCCTTTAAAATGGATAAATGTATAGCCGAAAACGCTCGGATAAAAAGAACATTCGGACAGTTTTTATATAATTTATCATCCGAAAAGAAAAAAAAATTAGATCGCATGAAAAATTGTATAAAAAACTAAATAAAAGCACCATGTCTGTCGTATTCAATAAAATCTGCATGAAAGAAGGATTGCTGCCTAAATACACACACACACACACACACACACACACATATATATATATATATATATATATATATATATATATATATATATATATATATATATATATATATTTTCATTCCCCTTGTTCGAACTCACTAATCAATTGTAATTGTTGTACCACGTCGAAGTGCCCAGGATGCTCAGTCAATGAATGCTGAATGTTTTGCGGAAACAGGAATAAACACTTTTCAGAAATTGCTGCTTTCTATAGCTTGATAAAAACAATACCTGCTCGACTTATTGGCTTCATTCTCTAGCTTAAATTCATAGTAGAGTAATTACTTCCACTATCGTCTTATATGCAGAATAAACTTCGTTAGAAGATGGCTTCCCTTCAGATTATATCAAAATTTCATATTTTACAAGTTGTTTGGAAGTTTCAATTTCCAATTGTACATCACAATAATGTATGAAAATAAAAAAAAAAAAATGTTGTGAGAGACAAAAAGTTATCTCTCGTTGATTAAATAAGAAAAAAGCTAAATGTCGATAAGCACGAGAATAAATAAACAGTCACGTGAACTAACGGGAACTGCACGAGACATCGTTAGGAGCGTAAAATAAACAGCTCTTTTAGCGCCAAGGTACGTGGACGTGCGTTTGGTGTGGGGGGGGCTCTTGAACAATCCAGAAAGACAAGTACAAAAATGACACATTCTTCTTTTGATACTCAAGCAATTGTAAGTAACTCCATGCCTACAATAGCAACAAAGACTTTTGTGTTATTTTTAAACTTTCTTTTTTATGTTGTCATATATCAATTCACTTTGCAAATGAAGTCAATATTGTATACCCACGAACAATAAAACATCTTAGTGATTTTGTATTTTTAAACTTTTTTTATTTGTCATTTTTCATTTGGAAATGAAGTCAAAGATACCCACGAACAATTTTAGTGTGTTATTTTTTTTTAAAAAAGACTTTTTGTGTTATTTTAAACTTTCTTTTTTATGTTGTCATATATCAATTCACTTTGCAAATGAAGTCAATATTGTATACCCACGAACAATAAAACATCTTAGTGATGTATAACTTATTATTTTTATACAAAGACTTTTGTGTTATTTTTAAACTTTCTTTTTTATGTTGTCATATATCAATTCACTTTGCAAATGAAGTCAATATTGTATACCCACGAACAATAAAACATCTTAGTGATGTATAACTTATTATTTTTTACAAAAGACAGAATATCAATTCACTTTGCAAATGAAGTCAATATTGTATACCCACGAACAATAAAACATCTTAGTGATGTATAATTACAGAATAACACTCGAAAATACGGATAGTAAGACGCTCTCTTTAAATTTATGTGAAAACTACCTACAACTAGCATGTTCAAGCTAGTACAAATGATTTACAACTTTTGATTTAGACGTTTTCAATATTTTAATATTCAATATATTCCGTTGAGAGGAAGGCCCCGAAACGGTGCACATTCTCTCCTGATGACCCCAGTTTAAATATAAATTCGGGAGGAACACATCAAAAGAAATTCAGTGAAGTCATATACCGTAGAGAAGCCCAGTGGAAGTGTCATTGGCATGAGGAGTATTACACATTCAGCTCGCTTCAGGTGAGTTTCAATTACTTTCCAGTAATTTCCTTCTTGAATTATAATGTAAATCGTGGAGCATCGTCCAGATAGATAGATAGATAGATAGATAGATAGATAGATAGATAGATAGATAGATAGATAGATAATGAAGGGAGTGTTGTCAGTAGGTAATGAAGAGACTGAGATAATGATATATACTGTACCTATGAACACTAATGGCTATGTCAAAAACTCACCAAAACGAACGCCCACAAACCCATTTTGACACATTCGAAACGTTACACCATCTTCTTCATGAACTGCGACAATGATTATTAGATTTTCTATTTTATCATAAATTTTTAGTGTAGTTTATTAATCCGACGTTATTTATAAATTACCATAAATAACGAAAATAAAGTGAGTAGATATAGATGCGAAAGGACCCAGTGAGGGGGGGGGCGTTTCTTAAACAGGTTAATTGTATTCTTATCAATACGATTTCCTGTGGTTTAATTTGTAACGGCACAGTTCAGAAAAGGAACTACAAGCTCGATTCCTGTCTGAAAACTTAATTTACTTTAGCATGACTTCACGATATAGACCAATTGACACTAATTACAATTTTTAAGAAGAAAATCGGATTTGTTCTCAGTAAGAATAAGGGTTTTTTAATAACATTTACGATATGAACAAAAGATAAACAACTGAAATTATATATATTCCTTGCATTTTTAGTTTGGCTTTACTTCTTGATCTAAAGTATCGCGTGCTGTTACAAAACTTTTGTAAGTTTGGAAGGGTTACTGAATGAAGAATAAACAAAACGGCGGTCAGAAATGAAATGGTCATCTTTATAACATCAACAAAATACAATACTCGCCAGCGGCATGGAGTAGGTAATCCACTGCTAGTGGTGGACTACTTAGACAACATATTACCCCCACTTACAATAGAGTCCAGCGTATTTATAAGGATTGTGACATAGCCATTACTGTTCATAGGTACAGTATATAGCATTGTCTCAGTCTCTTCATTACCTACTGACAACACTTCCTTCATTATCTATCTATCTATCTATCTATCTATCTATCTATCTATCTATCTATCTATCTGTTCTAACCTAGAAAGGGTTACTGAATTAGGAATAACTAAAACGGAGGTTGGGAATGAAATGGTAATCTTTATAACATCAACAAAATAACATTACTCACCAGCAACGTGAAGTAGGTAAACCACTGCTAGTGGTGGACTACTTAGACAGCATATTAACCAAAATTATAATAGTGCCTAACGTATTTATGAGGATTGGGACATACCCATTAGTGTTCATAGGTACGATATATAACACTATGTCAGTCTCTTCATTATCTATCGACAACACTCCCACTATCTATCTATCTATCTATCTATCTATCTATCTATCTATCTATCTATCTCAGTCTCTTCATTATCTATCGACAACACTCCTACTATCTATCTATCTATCTATCTATCTATCTATCTATCTATCTATCTATCTATCTATCTCAGTCTCTTCATTGTCTATCGACAACACTCCCACTATCTATCTGTCTGTCTATCTATCTATCTATCTATTCATTGTCTATCGACAACACTCCCACTATCTATCTATCTGTCTATCTATCTATCTCAGTCTCTATCATTGTCTATCGATCAATCTATCATCTCCCACATATCTATCTATCTATCCCACTATCTATCTATCTATCTATCTATCTATCTATCTATCTATCTATCTCAGTTTCTTCATTATCTACTGACAACACTCCCTTCATTATCTATCTATCTATCTATCTATCTATCTATCTATCTATCTATCTATCTATCTGTTCTAACCTAGAAAGGGTTACTGAATGAAGAATAACCAAAATGGAGGTTGGAAATGAAATGGTAGTCTTTATAACATCAACAAAATACAATCCTCGCCAGCGGCGTCAAGTAGATAAACCATTGCTAGTATTGGACTTCATAGACAGCATATTAACCCCACTTACGTATTTATAAGGATTGGTTGGTACATACCCATTAGTGTTCATAGGTTCGGTATATAACAAAAACCAAAACGTTAATTTAAAACCTCGAGGTATGTTCTGAAATAGCCTCATCAGATCGAGACATTCATATGGATGTCATGCATGGAACCGGAGCCATTCAAAAATTAAACTGTCAGTTCTAGACAATGATTAAAAATACATTCAGCTAGTAAAGTTTATAGGTTCTAGCAAGGGGCATCCATTTTAAAACCTTTGGCGCTACAAAATCATTAAAAAAAAGAATTGTGCCAAATAAGAGAAATCACATCACTTGAAAACTTCCAACAGCTGCAACAAGTAAAATGGAGAGCACTTGTAACCCGAAGGGAAAACAATGTCATCATAAAGATTTTGAAATTCTACATTCTTTTAACTAAAAGCTTAGAAGGGAAACCTTCGTCAAAACAATAACAGTCCACTTGAGAAACTTATTTCACTGAAAAATTGTTTCAAGAGAAATATTTTATAAATTTCACCTGGCGATAGCACTGGCTACTCAGTCTATTAATGGCGAAAGTTTCCTTATAAAGAAACTTCTAATATTATCATCGTTAGTCTATACCTAAAGTAAACCTTATCCTTATGGTTATATTATAGAAATTCTAGTGACTAGAACCAAAGAGTTGCGAGTTCAATACGTGGCTACAGCAGCGGGGAACCAAACACTTGGAGAGTTGAGTTAAAGGGAAATAACTGAGACATCCAGAAGATGCATGGCACGTGGAAGTAGAACAACTAGACATCGGTTTGGAATTCCAATCACCTAAAGAAAGACGGAGAGTACAACGAGCGAATAAAGATGAGGATAACAGACCGAATAATGTAAGTAATGTAAGTTATTATAGAAATACATTTGAAATAAATTTACGGTAGAAATTCATAAATCAAAGGGAATTTTAGTGGAGAGAAATTAATGTCAGGTTTACTGAAAAACGAAGTCTACTGTAGATATAATTCGTTCTACAGTTGCTTCATAGTCTCATGCTTTACTCGGCAAAGTTTGAAAAAACAAAGCCTCATCGAAACAGTTAATATTATCTGCATATATGACATTTAAAACGAAATGTTTGAAACTTGGGTGTTGATTTTAGATACGAGAATTGACGTTTTTGCGTACCCTCCCGCTTGCTGAAATCTAATTGGTTGCTGGTGGAATTTTGTTTTGTTTACGGTGATCACTCAACACCCACCTCATTCACAGCCGACGGTATATGTAGTCTCCCCGCACGTGTCTCACACCAACCACGCCTGACGCCGAAATCAAATCATGTACGCTACACAGGGTATTGAATTTTATTGGCTATTATCTAATGCAATGCAAAAATAGTTGATAAACATCAAGAGAGCGTTCCTGCTGAAATAAACTGTCGACTAAACATAAGCGTAAAATCAATAAAGACGAATGGCGAGGTTACAAAAACGTGTTGATTCTATTTTTTTTGTATATATTTTTTGTATATATTTTTATATATAACTTTTTGCATATTTTTTGTCTATATATTTTTATATATAATTTATATATAATTTTTGTATATATTTTTTATATATCATTTATATATAATTTTTAGTATATATTTTATATATAATTTATATATAATGTTTTGTATATATTTTTATATATCATTTATATATAATTTTTTGTATATATTTTTATATATAATTTATATATAATGTTTTTATATTTTATGTATCATTTATATATAATTTTGTATATATTTTTATATATAATTTTTGTATATATTTTATATATAATTTAGATATAATTTTTGTATATTTTTATATCTGATTTATATATAAGTTTTGTATACATTTTATATTTAATTTATATATAATTTTTGTATATATATTTGTATATACTTTTTATATATAATTCATATATTTTTGTATATAATTTTTATATATAATTCATATCTAATTTTTTTGTATATATTTTTATATATTTTTTGTATATAATTCATATATAATTTTTTGGTATATATTTTATATATAATTTATATATAATTTTTGTATATATATTTTTTTATATATTTTTTATATATAATTTTTGGTATATATTTTTTTAAATTTTGTTATTATTTTATTTTTTCTTCGTTTCTCGATTAGTTTTATTTTTTTGAATATTATTTTGTTTTTGTTTTTTTAATTTCAAATATCTTTCTGGTTTGTTTTACTTTCAGTTAAATGAGGTTTTAATTACGCAAATAATACCTGTTTGAGAAATCTTTCCCACAACTCCTACTGCGATCACAAAACCAATGATTATGTACGGGGGAATGTTAGAAGTCTTTGTGGCTCGACAGGAATCTTTCCTCGCCACTATTAAGCATCGGAAGATACCATGGTTTTGGCCACGTCACACAGCATAACAGCCTCTACAAGACCATCAACTGTTGAAGGTGGGCGCAAAGCAGGGACGGCAACGCAAACACTGGTCAGACAACATTAACGTGTGGACGGACGTACCGGAACTCATGAGAGCCACCGCCAACAGATCATCCCGGAAGAAGGTTGTCTGTTTTTTCTGCTCAAAGATTGAAGCAGTCAAGGGATTGATGACGATGATGATTATGATTAATTAAATATTTCATATTATACAGGGTGCGACAGGTAAATAGTCGCCATTTTATGTTATTAATTCCGCGCATGCGCGTTGTTAATTTTTTTTAATTTTTTTTCCCACTGCCAATATAGTAGGCTCAGTTGGGCAGATTTTGCGAGAAAAATCTGCATATCGCAATTGACTTCGCCAGAAATTTGTAAAGTGCGTTCTGTAACGCTTGGCATTTGCGCCAATTTGTCATTCATTTGCCTAATATGCATATATACAGGATGTCATGGGTAAATTGTTGCTATTTTATATTTTTCATTTCGTGTTGCACGTGGTTTTGGATTTTGTCGACTGCACAGTATATTAGAGTCAGTTGGACATCTCCTGCGAAAAAAGAAGCACCATAACGCAATTCACCGCAAGAAATTTGGAAACGGCATGCTGTACTGTTTGGCATTCGCGCCGGAAGCTCCAATAGGATCATTTCAAAGTGTTTGGGTGTCAACCTGAGGACAGTTCAGAGGATTCAAAAAACGTTGGATTAGTTTAAATGTGATTACGAAGGTATGGCAGCTAAAAAAAAAAACCCACTCTGATCGTTCTGATAAGAAAAGAACATCGAATTTGTTGTTGACGGCCTCTGATTCGACACAGAAGACTACATCAGGTGCCTTCCCTGGGTCAAAAGGGCGTCTGTTGGAAGACCCTATGACTAGAAAGAGGATCTGCAGCATGCCAGACAAGCAGGAGAGCGCAGTTATGGCTGTCAGACAATTTCTGCGACCACATCACCACTTACATCTGGGCATTTAACTTCCCAGACTGCAACCTCCTTGATTATTATGAGTGGGATATAAATGCGCGAGAGACCAACAAAACTCGTTGTAATGCGAGCCTGCACTGAAGCCATAGATTATGGCAGCATTCACCAACTTAAACAAGGAGACCGTTCAGAAGAAGTGTAGGAGATTTTGTAGTTGTTTGGAGGCTGTGGTTGAAGTCAATGGCGATTTTATTGAATAAATTTCTTCTTTAGTATGTCACGATATCTTTGTGTAATTTTGGTAAATATATCTGTTTAAATGAGATGTCAGTGCTATTTTGACTTTTGCATAATTTAGACGACAATTTATCCATCGTACGCTGTATATTGTTTGTGTAAAAGTAGAAAAAACAAAAAAAGAATACATAACACGTGGTCCTTACAAATAGACTTCAAATATCTGAATGAAAGATGTTTTCATTTTTTCAAAAATCCGCTATTTCAAATAATACAGAGCAGTTACACGAATCTCCAAATTATTTATGGACCGCTTTTTTTGAAAAGCAGCCTTCGAAAACAAGATTATTGCCTGGGCTTGAACAATAATGATGTTGGTCATATTATCCGTTTCTTAATAATGAGACATTCCGTATTCACCGATGGAGTAGCTAGTGTCACTGTTAGTTGAAATTTATAAAATCTTTCCGTTTAAAATATATTTCAGGAAAATTGATTTTCAAGTCCAGTTGTTGTAATTTCTCTTTCCAGTACTGATGTAGACATCTTTCTTTGACTCTTGTTTGAAGTAGTGTTGAACTTCACTTTTTACTATGCTTTGATGGGTGATATTAGGGTAAAAAGATTATGTTGCGCCAATATTCTAAATTCGGAAGGTTTTCTTGCATTGAATATCGGCAATCGAATTGGAGATGTATCTGGGTGTTTAGACCATTGGTATTCCAACCATGAAACCCGGACTCGAAGTGTCAAGAAAGTGAATTCTTTAATATTATCGGCCTTGACAGACGATCTCAGCTTGTGGCAATGTTGTGAAGTAGCTGAAAACAATACTATGTTGGCCTCATGCTTTTGAGTTAAACTGGGCTGATGAAACAGCTCGGAAGATAGTTGTGCTACCAGGAAATCCTAAAATATCGTCACCGAAGGTTTAAACGAAGTAGCTGAAAAAAAATACCATGAATTGGTACCCAGCCTTTTGAGTTAAACTGAGCTGTTGAAACAGCTCGGAAGATGGTCGTGCTAGCACGAAATCCCCAAAAATCGTTACCAAAGGTTTATGGGAAGTCGCTGAAAACAATACAATGAGTTGATACTCAGCCTTTTGAGAAACTGGGCTGTTAAAACAGCTTAGAAGATGGTTGTGCTAGCAGGAAACGCCAAAACATCGGCATCGAATGTTTATGCGTGCTGATCTTGTTCAATTACAGATCCCAACAGGCTATGCTTTACCTTTCAGTAACTATAATTGCGGTCTGCTAAGCGTAGTTGTGGT